ATTATATTCGCAGTAAAGAAATTTCATCGTTTCTTGCACGGTAGACAATTTCTGTTACAAACAGATCACAAACCTTTACTAACGATTTTGGATCGAAAAAGGACTACCAAACATACGGCGAATAGACTCCAAAGATGGGGTACCATTCTTCTGAATTATAATTTTCAAATGGAATATGTACCATCTAAAAACTTGGTCATGCAGATGGCTTATCAAGGTTAATACCTAAGCACACAGAACCATTGAGGATATGGTAATAGCAGCCATTCAAGCGGAAGTTGAAGTAAAAAATACTTTGTGACACGATAAGAGAACTTCCAGTGACGCTTGATGAGATTAAGAGTAAGGCAGAGGTGGACGAATTTATTATAAGCACGAAAGAAAAAATCAACAGTAACCAACTGGATGAGGAAATTTATTCAATTTGTGATAACGTCCTGTTATATAGCGACAGGGTCGTAATTCCTACGACATTACAGAAAAGAATGCTCAAGGAATTCCATGTAGGACATCCAGGCATATCAAGAATGAAAAGCCTTGTGCGCTCTTTCGTTTTCTGGCCAAACATGGATAAGGATATAGAAGAAAAAGTCAGGGAGTGTAGAGGATGCGCATTAGCTATTAAAGCTCCTCCGACTCAATTCGGATCGTAGGCAAAACCGGACCGACCTTGGTCGAGAATTCACTTGGATTTTGCTGGACCGTTAGATGGTTTCTACTATCTCATTGTTATAGACAGTCTAAGTGGCCGGAAGTACTGAAATGCAAGAACCCCACATCCTAGGCAGCTATTAACTTCCTGTATGAACTATTCGCTAGGTTTGGAGTTGTAGACTGCATTGTCACAGACAATGGAACGCAATTCACGTCTACCGAATTTAAACATCTCTGCGAGGATTATCTAATCGAGCATATAACCATTCTACCATACCATCCAAGAAGCAATGGGCAAGCGGAGAGATTCGTGGATACGTTCAAGAGAGCACTGAGAAAGGCTAGTGGATCACCGACGGATAAGTCAATCCAACAGTTCTTACAAGTTTACAGGGTCACCTGAATGCAAACATCGAAACGTCGAAGACACCTGCTGAGGTCATGTTCGGACGCAAGGTTAGATCAATTTTCCACAAGTTGTTACCAAACCAGGATAGGCCAAACCTCAAAAACCAATAACAAAAAACGGTGTATAAAGTTGGCGAAAGAGTTTTCTACAAGATGCATAGAAATAATAGGACCTTTTGGGGAGTCCGGCACTATTGAGAAACAAATAGGCAACATGGTCTATATGATTAAGGGACCAGATTTCGTGCACAAACGTCACACTAACCAAATCCGGAAAAGATACTCGAACAGTGAGGTGACCAGATCGCCCGAGGAGGACATCATGGACACAGTGTTTGATACTTTTCAGGTGCCCATACCAGAGACAGCTCCTGAGAATAGGTCAGAAAGAAAACGGAAATCAACGGAGTTGATTAGGTGAACCCAAAACAAAAACGTTATTAATTCCCAGACGGGATATTTTCAAAGGTGGGTGTTGCACCGGCCTCTAACACAAGGGAATTACACCGGTTCTCACTATATATAGTGCCAGTAATACCTACCCGGTGTAAGCAGCGACAGTACTACAACTGCCTAGCTCAGTAGTACCAGTTTCCTACCTTTGTATCTGTGATGTTAAATACACTTGTTCTTTAAACCAACTTCGACTTGATTTTCTTATTTTTACTATTGTGCCACGACACAACATATATATTCCATTGGAATCGTAAATTTAATATTTACCACTAATATTATATATATATATATATATATATATATATATATATATATTATACAGGGTGTCCATAAAGTTCGTGTGTATTTTAAAAAATTCATAATTTTATTTGTATTTGCGATAGAAATAATTTGTAAAAAGGATTAGAAAGAAGTAAATCTATATTTTTTTTAAGGTTTTATTGAAATTTTATTTAAGTTTCCACATGTACTCCCTCATTAGCAATACAAAGGGTAATACGATTTGCCAGTTCACGGAAAACATTTGCCAACTGATTTACAGTAATTCCTGAAATCACATTAGTTATTTTAGCTATACTTAAAACTAGGTACATTAAACTTTATAACATTTTTAACAGATTATTTCTATCGCAAATACAAATAAAGCTATAATTTTTTAAAAGTGCACACGACCTTTATGGATACCCTGTATATAGCCAACAGTAATTGTGATTGGATGCTACCATAACTGAAAGAAAGAAGAATCAATTGTATTCAAGTAGTGTTAACCTTGCCAGTAGAAAGTTAATATTAAAACGGAAAAAAATGGCGGAAAAATGAGCGTCGATGATTGTTTTGGCAAAGTTGTAACACGCTGTGATCTTTGAGTGCGTGACGTGGAGGTTAGTGTATGCGCGCGCATGCTGAGAGTTATGAAGCGATCAGCGGTACGGCAATAATTGGCTGCATTTTTCATTTTCTTTGTTATTATCAGAAGCAACGTGACTGGAGGCAACGAATTGTATTAATTCGCCGTACAGATGCAAACGTTTCAATCCGATTGCTTGCATCGAACGAATCTCGGTTCTCCAATAAAGTCTTGTCGATCAAATTTTGTTAAATGCTTATGTTTTTAGTCAATACTGGATAATTAAGCTAGAATTCTCTTCTATATCCAGTCAATATAGATTCTCTTTTTTTCGTCCGCCATTTTGCTCACTGTTAACTCCACCAAATTACTTTTTCAATCAGCTCAATAGAATTGACAGGAAAGAGTCTAAGCAGAAAACTGCTTGCATTGATTACAACTTTTAGGTTTTAAAAATTCAGCTTCTTATAGGGGGCGTGATGTAATGGAAGAACCCGGCACCCCCATGAATGATTACACGATAGGTAGTAAGTACCTATAAAGTCAACAGTCTACGGAAGACGAGAGAAGTTGTGAGAGAGACGACGAAATCACATCCGATATTCCAATTGGTGGCATTCACTACTAGATTGACCTGTGTATAACTGTACCGTATTTCCTATTGTACTGATTGTGTACAATAAACCTTTCTTCTAGTATCCACCTGGTGTTATTTATTTACGACGAGGATTGTCGGAACATAACGGGGGGGGGACAAAAGAAGACAAAAACGAAGAACTTATGATCTTGAAATCGTTACAGACTTCACACTATATCTGTGTGAAATTGTCAATCGAATTTGACCAAATCACCAAGAATTAATTCGATTCTTAATTTTACAGCAATATTAAAAGTTCCTGCTGTAGAAAAAAAATAGGCGTGTGCCTTTTTGGAGGATTTTTTTTTTATTTCTTTAAAAACCTCCCTGCAAAATAAATTAAAAAAAACAACTTTTTTTTTTGTTTTTTTTTGTTTTGTTTTACTGTTTTTAGTTTTTACAATTAAAAAATTAGTGTTGAGAAATTTTGTACAAACTTAATAAATTTAAGTATCGCAAAGGGATTATCTTAAACGAATTTATTTTTTTCTATACTTCAACCATGCACACACACATGAGAGAGATAATCACTAAGAAATTCACAAAAAGACTAGATGTCCATTGAAAAGAGATCTATGAAACCCAAGGTTCGGAATAATCCATAAATTTAAGATAAATTATGAAAATACCGTTGTTTGAGCCCGACTTAAAAAAAAATTTAAAGCAAAGAAAAAAAACAATTCGATAAAAATAGCTTTGCGACTTAGAAGGTACCTGTCGTAATTTCTGTCCACATGGCTTTGTACCATAATAAACTAAGCTTAGTAAATATTTAGAAATAGAAATGTCGTTCAAAAGCAAACGTTCATTCATTTAAAAAAAATACAAATGAAGTCAAAAATAAATAAAATCAAACTCGGTTTTTCAGAGCGGTCGTTATATGACAGGTATTATAAGAAATAAACCCTATTTCCAACACAATTACATCCATACATGCCATATTAAAACACGCCCAAACTTTATTTTCTATCCAATAAACGACAATATTATAAACATGCTAAAAGGGGTTCACAATTTGTTCATGTAACGTTTAAATCAACGTGCCTATTGGTTATAAATTAACATCACCATGTGAAATATTTGACCAATCAGAGAAAACTAAAACCTTATTTTTTTCGAGCTTACTTTCGGGAAAAAATTCTTATAAAAACTCACATATTTCAATTTTCAAAGAGCAGAGACGCAGCTGTCTCGAAGCGGAACACAAGAGAAGACTTGGCTATAGAGCTTTTTCATTCCCTCGAAGCGCGGGAAACGAATCATCTCCAACAGCTCGGATGGTCTGTGAATCTTTGCTGATGATCATGTGTCGGCGATTTCAAACGAACATCTTCAACAACTATAAAAATGATCAATGAATCTCCGCTAATAAGTCTTTTTTTTTCTTTTTTTTTATAAACCACATTTTTTTCTGTGAACCAAATACCCAAAGACTTTTCCCTATTTTTAATCCTTTTTGACTCGCTTGAATTTATGTACATATGTTTGTAAATACAAATAATTTAACAGGCATACAATCGTTTTCTTTATTTTTATTTTATTATTTGGAACGTTCGAATTTTTAATATAAAAAAACTTGGACAACTGAATTTCCTACAGTATGATAATCGAGCAGCCGCCATCTTTTTGACGTCACAACCAGAAAAATAAACCTTTTTTTTCTTTTTTTTTTTTGTCTGCTGACCAAAGTACTAAGACACTTATTGATCTTTTTATAAAAAGCTTACCTTACTCAAATTTTGCACATACCTACAGCTAGACTCTGGATTGTTAGGATTTCATTATCAATATATTAAGAATGTCAACATTTTCTGGACGTTCTGCTATAATGTTAAATCCATTTTCTTGTTGGCAAATATTATAGTGCTTTATCAAACAACTAACTGCATAGCTATATTTTTCTGTGGGTTTTATTCTTTTGCACAATGTTGTGAATATTTAAGGTGAGCTCATTCGGATTTACTATTTTGAAAGAAACAAAGAAATATTGTGACAAACCTGAAGGCTGCCTTTAGAACAATAGGCAAACAGAACACACAGATTTGGGGGGTCAACGCAAGATCCAATAAAAAGGTTTATATTCTCATGGCTTAGGTCCCGCATCTAATGTAATGAGAGAAAAAACACATGATTGGTTTGAGTTGGTGCACTGAAATTAGTATGTTTTTGTAAAATAAATTTTACAATAAATATGAGAGACATACATATTTGTGTAGATAGATAGATACAGAATTAAATAGATAGATACGAACTGAGAGAGACAGGCACGGTGGAGCAGTGGATAGCAGCTCGGATTGAGGAGTTGTAGAGCCGAGTTCGATTTCCAATCGAATCCATTACATTCACTTACGTGCTAATACCCTTGGGAAAGGTATGAATCCTCTTCTTTTCCCAGCTATGGGTAAATAGCAGGGTTCTTTAACCTGGCAACTGGTCTACTGCAGAAAGAAATAGCAACCTACTGCGGGAAAATAATCTGCCTCGAAAGATATATATGATGGCCCGTAACTGACTGACCGGTAAATACATACATATGACCTTCTACAGATACATTTTTGAGTCATAGATGTAATGATTTCCGAAATTTAGTTTATTTCTTCGCAAAATGAAGAAAAAAGTAAGCTTGAATCTAGGGTATGTACTTTGAGAAGCAGGATACATTTATTTATTTTTTTTAGTTCTAAAGGGAATTTTCCGATCCTTCCCAAAAATATTAATAATTTTAAGATTTTTTTGTTTTACTCTTTAAATGATTTTCACGACTACTCTTTTTATTAAAACACATAGTTTATTGCATGTTGCGAAAAAAAATTCTGCTCTACTCATAATAATGAAGTCTTCCTTTGTATAAAGCACCTAAGTGTAACTGCACTTATTAATAATGATTATTATATTATAAATTTTTAAGTTTCAAAGCGATTGGAGCATTGATTAAATTTAAAGCGGGAAGAGATCCAGTTTAGAAAATGGATGAAACTCATAGCAAAGGCTTTAAATCGATTGATTGAATCAATCAAGAATAGCAAAATATACGTATGATTACTTATTCTTTATTTTGTAAAGTGGTCTTTTAAAATTCGATTACGCGCCGTGAAATATAAGAGCGGGAATTATTTAGTATACAAATTTCGCACAAAGAAATCAAACAGTTTGATTGTTGTATTTGCACATCTTTGGCAGCGGCGTCTTACCTGCTTGAATTCCAAGTGGTCGGATCTGCTTAGAGCTACATGGCTTTTACAGACACGCTTTATGGCCACCACAATGCCACGATAATAGCCCATAGTGAACTTGTGTGGCTGAGGGTTGGACATACTGACAGTTGAGCCATCTCTTTCCATCGACTGAGTCTTGAAGCTTACCTGTGAACGAACAAGATTATCAAATATAAACAAATATATATATATATATTTATCTTATTCATGACCTGGGCCACAAATATATATATATATCTTATTCATGACCTGGGTGATCATGTCTCACGTCCTAGGTTTACGGCCACATCACGCTGAAACACCGGTTCCCGTACGATCACCGAAGTTAAGCAACGTTGAATCTGGTCTGTACCTAGATGGGTGACCACTTAGTAATACCAGGTGCTGTAAACTTGAATGTGCGTGTGGTGTAATGGATAATGGCTCGGAATTGTCAATCGGAGAGCTGTTTCTATTCCAGTCAGCTTCGTCATATTCACTTATGCGCAATAACCCTTAGGGAAGCTATGAATCGACCTCTTATCCCCCAGATATGGGTTAATTAGTAAAACTAATTATCTCCAAATGTTACGTCCATGGTATTTTCAGTATAGTACTGTAAAACCATATCTTTTTTTGGTTTAAGTCCCCTCTTCATCTGTGCGGAACTTGTCCAGCATTCACTGCCATATAGGAAGATTGATATTACAATTACTGATATCCTTCCGGGGGAGATACTTTCAGACTTAAGTATAAATACGACCAATGAGTAAGCACTGGTCTGGTTTACATGACAGCATCTAGATTGACACTTCTGCCTAGGAACAAACTGTGTGATCTGCTTAGGGTCAAAATCTCGCTTTGGGGTCCTCTGCCTGGGTTCAGCGAAGTATCACTGAAAAAGTGTAACACACACACACACACACACACACACACACACATGAAAGACAAACTAATTCTAAAAACAACGGTCAACTGCGTAAATTCGAAGCTCTTCAGTAAAATTAATGGAGCACTTTGGCTGCTTGGCGTTTGTTTACGTTTGTAAAAACAATACGCTAGATTTGACTGATTCGTTCTGTCGAGTGAAGATGGCTCAGTGGTAAAAGCTCTGACTGACACCAAATCGTTTGGGTCTTGTTGTGATACAGCGAAACAGTACTGTCTATAAAGGCAGAGAGTTCGACTGTTCGAATGACATCTATAAAGGCAGAGAGTTCGACTGTTCGAATGACATCTATAAAGGCAGAGAGTTCGACTGTTCGAATGACATCTATAAAGGCAGAGAGTTCGACTGTTCGAATGACATCTATAAAGGCAGAGAGTTCGACTGTTCGAATGACATCTATAAAGGCAGAGAGTTCGACTGTTCGAATGACATCTATAAAGGCAGAGAGTTCGACTGTTCGAATGACATCTATAAAGGCAGAGAGTTCGACTGTTCGAATGACATCTATAAAGGCAGATCGCGCCTAGTCTAAAAGAATACAATATTCTCTTTACAAGCAATTTTCCAAGCGTAGCTTAGATGTATGCCGAAATTATGGAGCACCTAGTGAGTTCGATCACTGGGTGCCCCATACTCACTACTCATTCGTATTTGTTCTAGCGAGACAAGCTTGCTAACCATTACACCGCCATCGGAGTGCTCACGAATCTCCAACTATTATATTTAGCCCCCCCCCCCGAAGAGGCCGGTTTAACGTGGGTTCCCCCGAACCCGTAGGATCGGCCTTTTTGAACCTCCCTGAACGAGAGTCTGCCCTTCGGCGGGGCCTCGTCCGGGTTCCTTTCTGCCCAAAAGCAGAGATTTCGACCAGCTCAGCTGGAGACGAATCTCCAACTACAGACACGTACAGTATTGACTACTGCATTTATGGGAATGGTGGGGGGGCATACCAATTATCGTCCGTAAGTATGCTACAACAATAAGTAAAGTGGATTGACCAGCAGGAAGATATTTGGAGAAGTTGGTGTTTCAATTGTAAACAGAGAAAAATGACATTAGCTAAAGACATGAAAACAAGCAAAGCGCCATTTTAAAAATAAACATCGCAAAGTAAAACGTGCACATTGGGCGAAGACATAGATAAAAACTGATTTCTTAACAGTAATTTTAGCGACGAATGTAGAGTGACATTGGAAAGACCTGGTGGGTGGGTTAGTATTATTAGACCCCTTCTTCCAAATAATCAACGAACACGATTTATAAGATAACAGTGGGAGATGAGATACTTTTCTTTTAAGCAACCCCCATGGAAGGCAATAAAGCTACTAAGATGTAAGGAATTACTGAGCATATGAGAAAAAGAAAGCATTATTAAAGAACGAGGACAATAAAAGAACGGTATTTAAGACAGATGATGACATTTGACATTGCATTTAAATGGACGGTTGTTTTATGGTTACTAATAAGACTCCAGTGTATGATTTTAAGTTAGTAGTTTTTGAAAATTAAAAACCCTTTTAAATTTTTAACGAAGTGGTCGGCTTATAATGTAATTATAATACTAAATTAGACCCTTACCATCCGTCAAATTAGATAAACAGAACTTTTAGATTTTTGCTTATTTGTATAAAGTAGTAGTATTTTTTTTTTTTTTTTTTTTAGCTAATTTGCCCTAAGCAAGGCGATAATGCCACTGAGACGGAAGGGTGTTACTGGTAGTGAAAGAGAATAAAAATACTTTAGAAGGAACCGGAAATCCAATCCTAAACAGGAATCAAAGGATACACCTCTCCTCCTGTTTAAAAGACCGGATAGAAGTGTAAAACTGACGATAGGTATTCTTTTTTTTTTTTTACCCCTATTAAGGAAAAAATAAAATATATAAATAGTAAACAAATTTTGGGAGTTTAGGCAGAGACGTTAGAAGAATGCAGTTGACGTAGACTTTTGAAGGAACCGGAAATACAGTTCTAAACAGGAAACAAGGGATAAAAAAATCTAATCTTTATTTAATTACATTTTCCTTTCATTTTTTTTTCCCAATCACCGAAAAAAATAATTTGTTGTCATGCTTATATTTTGTCGATGTGTTTCTAAAAGAGCGTAAGTTTACATGAGCTTTTTATGCATGTTTTTGTCATTTTTAAAATGAACGAACTGATCTCTAAAAGAATGAATCAGGCAATATTCTGATACAAAAACTTTTTGTGATGTTAGCCCCCAAATAATTGTATTATGTTATGTTAACCTTGAGTTTCTTGATAAAAATCAAAGAAGAATCAGCAATATTATTGGTCCTGATCTGGCTGCTCGGCTTCAGTCACTTTCCCACCGCCGTAAGGTTGCCTCTCTGTGTCTTTTCTATAAATACTTTTATGGTAATGGTTTGGATGAGCTCTTCGCTTTGGTACCTAGACTTTTTGAATTTAAGCTCAGTACTCGACTGGTGTCGAGATCTCATCAATTTACATTTGAGATGTGCTAGATGGAGCCGTAAGTTCTATGCTAACAGTTTCTTCTCTCACACTTCTCCCTTCCGGCTCAATGCTTTTCAGCTAACTAAATCTGCAGAAGTTTAAATGCAATGTCAGTCGCTATCTAGTGTCTTCCTAATTACTCTTTTCTCTTCCCGTTCATTATTAATGTTTCTGTTCGTAATTCTTTCATGTATCCCCTTGTGGCTTAGCGGCTTTAGTGCCTTGCTTCGGGTGATACCAATTAAAAAACAAAAAAAACAAATAGAAGATCAAAAGAGCAAGTTTTAGCAGTTAATAAAAATCGGCAGTAGAACATTGTAAATAATTTTGATCCTATCAGAAACCCGAGTGAATGTTATTTTTCGAAATCTTGCTTAGTGTCATTCTGATTGCTTAAATATCAGACATACGACTAGGCTTGTCAGTGATTATTGTAGCATCACGCTCACCAGATTGCAGTGTCAGTAAAGCTGTTTTTAGGGTAGTTTAATGTGTGAAGGTTATTACGTAATTTTATCGGGGAAAGTCACGAGTTTGTTGATAACAATCTACGCGTTAATAGTCATCTATTTGTTGGAGTAACAGTGATTTTTCTATGAAAATTTCTCGGACATTCAGGCCAGTAAATGTCGTTAATACCGGTTATTATAAACAGAGCATTTACTTAAATATTTGTATCTATAAAAAGAACGTATAAACATAAAAAAAAAAAAATGTCTTAAAATAATTGTCGGACTTTGTCCATTTCATAATGCGTGACGTCATTTGTTTACATTTGGATAAGCATCGAGCAGATATGAATGTACGAAAGAAAGTCGTGGAGAATTGTAGTTTAAAAACAGTAAAATTGACCTTGCTAACCAAAACGCTCCTCTGTGGCACAATCGGTAATAGCGCGTCAGGCTATATGACGGTTCCGTATTGGATACAGGTTCGATTCCTGTCAGAGGACGCATATTTTCTATGAAAGGTATTATGTACACTATTTACATTATTCGGACAATTGTCCTCATCTTTGTTGCCATATTTATGACAACGTTTCGGCCCTTCAGTATCTGTCTATATTTTGGAGATGAGGTATTATGTACACTATTTACATTAATCGGACTATTGTTCTTATCTTTGTCGCCATATTTATTACAATGTTTCGGCCGTTGTAGACTCCGGCCTTCTTCAGGTGGTTGGAATGTCGAACTGCACCCTTTATTTCGCTCACTGGGGTAAACTGTTCTAGTTCCACGTGCCATGCATTTAATGGATGTCAGTTATCAGTTATCTCCTGTTAATTCCCCTCTCCAAGTTCTCCACTGCTTTAACCGGGTATTGAACTCACACTCTTTGTGCCCTGTCTCTGGATATAACCAACCCCTTTATCCACTGTGCTATGTGTCCTTGAGGCGTTAGTTGGATCCGGTGACAGGACCCAAAGAGTGTGAGTTCAATACCTGGTTAAGGCAGAAACGTTGTAATAAATATGGCGACAAAGATGAGAACAATATTCCGAATAATAGAAATAGTGAATTCGACAATGTTTGCCTATAAGGACGATTGAAAACGAGTTTTCAATAGTGAACGGAAATATGATTTACTGCCAATTTTTTTTTAACTTCCTGTTTGTAAAACCTTCTTTTCTAATTTGACTTCCGGTTGCTAAAATATGAAGAATGTTATTCTAAGTTTCCTACTGGAAATACCAAAATTCTTAAACAAATGCAAAAATTTAAATATCTAGGAAGTGTTTTAATAGAAGATGGGAAAATTCGTCACCGAAAGCTAAAGGCGGATTGGGATAGCGAAAGATGCCTTCCAAAAGCTAAGCAAAGTATTAAGAAACAGAAAAACAATCAATGGAAACGAAGAAAAGAGTACTGAATTGTTATATAATATCGGTGAATACTGGATAATCTTATCACAGACGGAAAAGAGATTTGAGGCAACAAATATGGTTGTACAGAAGGATGCTGAGAATATCATCGACTGAACACGTGAGCAACGACGAAGTTTTTAGAGAAAATGGAAACAAAAAGAACACTTATACGTAGCATCAGAAATATCCAAGTTGTATAAAGAGGAAAGAGGGCTTGGAAAATTTGATACGCGTAGAACATATAGAAAAAAAGAGGGATAAAAGAAAGCAATAGCTTGTTTAAATGGTGAACAGAACAGGGATTAGGAGAGATAACAAAAAGACAAACTTTATTAAGGGCTACAAAGGAAATGAAATTGAAGAGAGCGATGATTGCCCACGTCCCGAAGGGACACTGCACGCAGAAGAATTCATTTTAAGTATTTCGTTATTGACTTTCAATTTAATATTTAAACAACGTATATCTCATTGATAAAACATCTGCAACGTGACTTTAACAAACTACTAAACAAGTTTGTTTTCTCCCACAACATTCCAGTGAAACCAGCTTAATATATCCTTTTGCTATGATAATTCTAGTTGAAAAAGCAAAGATTTTTCAGCATTTTTGCATGGAGTTGCGTGCAGACGACATTCCGTTTGATTTTGGTCTGAAACTGATAAAAACCCTTGTTTACTTGGCGAAAAATTATTGGTACAAAAAGATAAAATACGTTACGATAAAAACTAGTGAGAAACATTCAGCTGTTATACACATCTAACGTCAGATATCTTTTACTACTTTTTAATAGTACAAATTATTACCAGATAAGATATGAAGGTTGTACAAAATTAGTAGACAATACATGAAAATAATAACGGCATGTGTGAGTCTGTGTGAATAGCATTAAATTGTATATATTTATTATTCAATCTTCATTCAGAAAAGTGTTAAGTCTTAGATAATTATTGCCAGAGCGATACTCGATATTTATTGACGAGAGTCAAAAGTAATTCAATGTTTTTGATTATATAAGAAAAAAGGAACACAATTAAACATATTGTACATCAATATAGCTATACATCCCAGGTTCACATCACTGCTTCTCAATTCTCTTCCGATGGCCGTTTTCAACCTACGAATAGTGGAATGTATCTCAGCCTCGTAAATTTCAGCTGGCTGCTGATATAGTCAGTTCCTTACAGGAGTTTTCACTTCTTTTCATCTCTGCTACAAGAGGCAATGAGGGGCAGACTTTATGATAGTAATGAAGAAGTAAAAACTGCTGGTTCAAAGAGAATACAACTTAGGATTCAATCAAGTAAAAAACGGTCAACTTCGTCTCAGTGACAGCCATTTTGCTGACATTTGTGAAATTAAGATGGTATTTAGAAAAAACAAAAAAGCTGGGTATAATCATGAAGTATATTTTTTCTGGTCAATAAGACAATCTTATTTTGCTAAGGCTTTTTTTTTCATACTAAACTCGGCGTAGTTCTGGCATTTGCTACTTAGCATCTTCTTTCTGAAGCCGGCGCATTTGGACGCAAGATATTTGGATTGTGTTTTGTTTGTTTTGAAGTGAATATAGAAATATAGAAAATGGGAAGGGAAAAAACGACAATGTTTTATCGAATCGGATCTTAATTGTGTTGGCAATCCTTCTGAATGATAAACAGTGGCTCGTTGACATCATTTTTCCACGAGTGGAAATAGCATTTGATGAAAAGGATGGCCGCTCTTACTGAAAAGAGACGCAGCTTTTTGAACGTTACGTAGTGGGTGGGGTGGAGGGAAATCTCTAGCAACTTACTGGCTACTCACCTGACTGTCGGACTTCTTATTAACTGTTGATAAGCGTATTTCATTATAATCCACTTTCCACAACATCTTGGCCAGTTCTTCTTCGAATATACGACGCCTGAAAAATTTAGTTGACTTTAAATGTTGAATAAGATAAAAAAAAAATCTTGGTGTATAATCTTGAATAGCGCTATTCTATCAGTAACACATTATTCTTGACAACCAATAAACCGTCTAATTCTGAATGCATTTATGTTGATAAATGATTTGCAATGCATTTTTCTCGTAAAACCATTTGCAATGTATTTATATTATATTATATATGTTTGTTTTTGTTTAGTAGCATAACAACCCATATGGTTTATTTAATGCCAAAATCTAAATTAAACTTTATACTTAATTCAAAAGAATGACATTTCATGATTTAATTATAATTACCTAGCTTTATTTTTTTTAACCAAATAATCTTACAAAATCTAACGAGGCATGAAAATTTGTTTCTCCTCATAGCAAATTGTTATATTTTTT